CCCCCCCCCCTCCACTGAAAACCATGTGATCCTCCCAGAATCCTCCGTTATTACTCTTTCTAGACGGATGCAATTCCATCGGAGATGAGCCCTCTGCAATTCTGACAGTTTTCTACCATTCATCTATCCTACTGGATTCAGGAAAGCTTTTCTAGGGTTACGTGCACCACCCCGAAAACGCAGCACCGATTCGAGAATGAATCACGCTGAACACATAGTCGCCTCGTCTCTTAAGTACAGTATTACTGTAACGCAAGCGTTTTTCTTACCGTCCTGGGGCTCAAAATTAAGGGCAGGAATTCACTGTATGTGATGTGTTGTAGGATCGCGCCAACGATTTTCCTTGCTTCTTGGTAAATTCGCTCTGGATTCCACTGAGTACGTTTACTGAAGAAAGCTGCGATTCGATTGTGCTCACGAACAAGCAGAGTGTGAACTGACATGAGACCTGCGACAAAAAAAAAGTAGAAAAAAAGGAAATAAATCAGCATTTCGTTATAAACTGTCTACTTTTCAATTTTGTTATAGTTGTAAGGCTCTAAGGGGTTTGCAGCCACTAGGGACCTTTAGAAATTGAAAGTTCTGAAACGTTAGAGTTCTCGTCGGAAAGCCTTAAATTAATTCCCGTTAATGGACCTAGTCTGAGTATGGCTCGAGCTTTGTTCGTCCCTTTAAAGATGACATTTCGTTTGCAGCCCTAAACGAGACGACACGTTTCCCTCCTTCTTCACTCCGGACCCTCCTCGCCTCTGGTGAACTATTAAGTACTCTCCCTACCTTGATTTTCGTTTACGCGCTCGTCTCCTGCCAAAAAGCAAGGTGTGTTTGGATCTACAGACTCGCAAAACGTTTCGGGGAAAGCTGCAGGTAATAGGTCGCCCAGAGGGCAGCCGTGTGGTGGTTTCATAATTTTCAATGACCCATCTGGGGCCCTAAGATTATCCTCCTCCTCCTCGCTTGAGCCATACACATTGGATGCATCAATGTAGGCTGTAATACTGTTGGTGTGTTCTCGTGGAGCAAGTTTGCCAAGCTCTTCTGGTACGTGAGCAGAGTCTCGCTCCATTTCAATATCAAAGACACCCTTAGACCTAAATATGACATCATTTTCTGGAATTTCAATGTTGATACACTCAGGGTCTTTGGTTGGAGGTTCACAGTTAATACCCGGAAACTCTGCTAGCGTGAGGTCATGATCCATAAACTGTCCCCAGTTCATTGTCAAGTGGGTGAGCACCATAGAATCAGGATTGGTTCGGTCTGCGTTACTTCCGTGGACTTCCAAACTCACTGTCCTCGCGTTCGGTAACTCTGAGCCATCCTTTGCTACGCGAAGTTCCAAGATGCCATCTGCGTAGTCATTTTCCGCCAGGCGCTGAAATTGATCACCTGCTGCTCCTTGTCTAGGATTATCCAAATTGTTACAAGTTCCGTCGGCTGTTCGGAAACGAGCGTTTGGATTGCACCTTATGTTTTCATCAGGGTGTACGTCGCCTTCAAATAACCTAAAAATGTTCAATGCGCAGTCCTTCTTTTCACTGTGTAGAGATTAAGGAGTACAAACAGCATTAGAGCATTTAGGCCGTGTACTTAAGCACGCATACTAGATTTACACTGAAACAAATAGGATTTTCTCTCTCGATCTCTATGCGTGATAATTGATTTCTCTACCCTCAACTATCACGCGATAGAAATCAAAAACTTTTAATAATCTATCGAACGCTGTACAATAGTTTTTGTCCTTACCTACTCGGAGAAAGTCCAAGTGCTGCAAGGACTCCTTGGTCTTCACAAAGTTGTCTTACAAGGCAAACAGTAATAAATTCACTTTGTTTTGACTGAAGCCACTCTTCACCTTCTTGGCGAGATTTTTCCCCATGCTGTAGTGATATGTAGTGTTTAAGTAGGGCATTTTTCTTCCCTTCTTCTTTTTCCGCCAGCATTTTTTCATCATACTTTTTTTCGGCCTCATCTTGGCATCCTTTTCTAAGAGCGTCAGCTTTCGTTTCAACTATTGTCTTAGCGTCTCGCTTTTCTAACTGTTGTTCTCGTTTTTTGTCTATGCCCCGTGCGCTGATTTCGTCTAACTTTGTCATCTCATCTGTCATGTCCTCCACTGTTTCCATTTCTTTGTTGGACGGGTATGGGTCATCAATAATGTAAGAAGACGTCATCCCCAAACCGAGGATCAGTAATAGGACCAATCCACTGTGGATATGGCCCACCATGTTCGCTAAAGTCAAAAGGAAAAGGTTACATGTCAGGTAACGAAATTGAGCGCTTTCGAAAATGTCATCGATAAAAGCTTTGCTACACTTTCTACTCAAGAATACAAATAAGCCCTTTTAATGACCTGAGTGAGTGACCCTGAGAGGGATAAAAGGTCACGGTGGAAGGCAATGGCAAAGAACAAAGCGAAATTGGAAAAGATTGTTGTCGTTTGTTTAAAAAGGAAAATGTAAAGTTTGACACTTTCAAAACATTTGTATGATGGATGAAAAAACTTTGTCCTCCACCAACTTTTTCCTCTCTAACAGTCCTTGCTAATTTCTCAAAATGGAAGTAATCCTAAAATTTCACCTATGAACTTCTACATCAATGGCTTCTCAACCGTAAATTCTGCAAATTTCATTTGTTCATTACTTTTGTGTTTTTGGATTCATGACCAAGGGAATCTTACCGTGTGGTGGAAACTCATGAATACATGATCTTGAGTCGGCAAAGTGGAAGCTAGTATCAGCTACTTCAGCGATCAAATTATCCGATAGCGGCCATTTTGGATCATATATCACATGAGGTCACCCTAGCAAATGGCATTTAGCCACGCACTTATTCACTTTTCTAAGAGGGGGAATGGTGGAAATTTTCTCCGGTTTTGCTCTTTTTTTTTTCCGACAGAAGTAGCATCGAATGAAAAGAACAGAGATTAAAGAGGTATGCGATGCGAGAAAAATGCATGTGAACGTGTTTCTGCTAATGCGTTTGTTTTCATCATCGCGTGAGCAGTTAACTGCTCAAGCATAACGACAATACATTCTTTCCTGTTTGAGTGACACACATTTGTTGCGCGCACAACGCCTGATGAAAATGCCGACGGCATGAAACGTCATCTCTGAAGTGAACAGATTTTGTGCCCTGCTCACGCAATATACTGGAGGTAGTTACTATCCGAGAAAACAAACACGGTCATACTTTGCAAAACCCACAACGAAGTTGATCGACTCTCATCTTTGTCTAAGCAGTCAAAAGGGATCTCGAACTATATCCACTTTTAAGTTTCAGTAGGTTTTTCTTCGCTTTTCTGAAGTGGAATGCTATGGAAATTTTTTCAGTTATTCTTCCTTTAATACAGGACTCGTCGAGCAGAAATTACATGTAAGTGCGATATGCGAAAATTGACTTCAGGGATGTTAAACGAATTCTTAAAAAACAATTCTGCGATAAGTTCTAAGAATCTACTTTTAGGCTTGGAAATCGCTAGACAATGGCGATATGTAGAAGGTGATCAAGTACAACTTATAAAGCAAAACGCTTTCAAAATGCTCACATCACTTTGGAATTCCACTGAAGAAAGCCACAAAACGGAATGTTACAAGGACAGCTGAATCAAGTCATGAAAGTAAGAGGCGAAAACAAACACACAGCTTAATCGATGTTGGTTGAGATTAAATAAGATTTGAAGGTGGAACCGTGGAACCGCGGAACCGCGGACTTCGAACTTGGTAAAAATACATATGTAGGTCACACTCTCAATAGGTACCCATATAAGTTGAGGCCTGACAAGTCCTAAAGGATTTTATCGCTGTAAGGTCATCTGATACAAATTGAAAAAGCTTGAAAGATGTCTGTGAAGTGCTGTAGGTGCAACTTCTTAAAGCTACCAAGACTTTTAAGCTCGAGGAGCAAACACGAAATTTGTTCGGCGTATACTAACAGACTACTACCAACTAATTTTGTTTTTGTTCATATGATCGCATTCATACCCAAAATTCAGCGAGATTTTTAGTTACCTCTGATAATCCTTCGTTTCTTCTGCTCAAAAGCCGGCTGCTTCTGGTAGAACTCCCTGTTTCTGACTTAAATCCCTTTGCTTTACACTGCTCATTTTATACCAACAACCCGGAACTTTTCTAAGGTCATTATTGCCCAATTGTTTGGTTCCTATTCAATTAAGAAACTCATTTGTATTGTTTGAATATTCGTGCGTGCATCAACTCCCTTACGTGGGCCATGTACACGCGAATTGTTTGAAGAGGTTCGTTTGTTTCTAGTACGGTAACAGAGTCGCTTTTCCTGCGATGTTTTTTGCGAAATTTCCCGCAATCGTCAAGCATGTGTTATCAAACTTGATTACTTTGACGAGTTAATATTTGAATTTGCTTTCTCGTTATTTGTTAAATTGTGGTTGTTCAACTGGGTGATTTTTCCTGGTTGGTGTTGATTTGTTAACGTTCCTGATAACCGTTTGACGAATCGTTTCTGGGCAAACTCTTATAGTTTAGTTTGATTGCAAACTGTTGTTTGCAATCACGTTACACTTCTCAAAAAACAGCAAATCAGCGAGCTAGTTGTATCTAAATCTTCAAGGAAAAAAAAAAGTTTCGTGTCGCAACCCAGTTTTAGTTCTGTATTGTTAAGAATTCTAAGCAGGTTTAATGGATGAAAGACTTCTTTGTTCAACTCTTCGGTTGAGAGCTCCGTTTACGTAAATCAAGGGGAAAAAGGAAAAAAGTATTTTTATGATTTTTAGCTTTCTCTTCTTGAGACAGGCATCTTTTCTGCAGGTTCACGTCGAGACATTTCTCAGTAAAGCGCAGAATTGATAAAAACTAATTAAAGTAAGATAGAGGAAAGACATTCTGTATTGTAACGCCTAATAAACTTGTTAAAGATAATCGATGAAAGGGTTATTACCATACAAACAATAGATAAGATGTCAATAACCAAAACATTCACTTTTTTATTCGAAGTTTTGGGCAAATTCTGAGTGTATCTTTTGGAAAATTAGAAGACTTAATTTGAACAGGTGTAATTGATCTTGAATTTTAAGACTTCAGTCCCCTGTTACAGCAGAATTGAGAAGGAAAACAGATTTGTCGGTACCAGTCCAATATTTGGTAAAAATCGAAAGTTGTGTTTTACATGTGTGAGGTAAATTGATTGTTCTTCTGAATTTGCAACTGCAATCTTGACGGTGCTGAACTTTCTAGTGATGGTGAAGTCTGTTTGCTCACGACTGTCGCTGTGGGTGATGAGAATTTTTCCTGTTTGGAAATTAGTATAATTACAGACTAATTGAGGTCTAAATTAGCGAGAACTGAGCCGTTTGCTGTAGAGGTTGAAGCTTTTGATGAAAAGCGTTTAAAAACAGATTGCTAGCATCAAAGTACATTGACATTTTTACGGTGATACTGGCCTCGTTTTTTACATGACGCGCTCTGCCCACAGAAAAAGCGGAATTTGCGCAGTTGTCGCACCTGGCCGTAATTCTGTCCAATTTTCCGCATTCATCACATCCGAACAAGAAGGGGCAGCGGAAGTTATAGAAAGTACAGCATTTCACGCCTTGAGATCCAACTCAGAGGTTGATATTAGAGATCAGATAGTGATATTGTGGACGATGTTTGTATATAGAGATAATTATTTTTGTCTTCATACAAATTCGTTTCCAAAAAAAATCTTCCTCATTCCATCTTTTTCCGCTTTCGTCCGAATTGCCGTAGGGCTTACTTTAGCATGCGAAAACTGCCATTATTGAAACAGAATAAAAACTACAGTGGCTTTGACTCTGTCATGATCACACAACAGATGCAGTTTTCTACACTATTGGCCTGAAATCCATTGACTAGTGTTACAGTTTTCGTAGTTCACAGCACGCTGTGAAACTATAGGTGTCATTTCTGTGCTTTGCTTTATGCTTTTTTTATTCGACTTTTGCTTTTGATTTAGAAGTCGTGCTAAATGTTATGACTTAATTAGGATAGATAAATGAATTGAATTCATTTGTGTCCAAGCGGTAACCGCAAGCCAGAGCGGTAAAATCTGGGTTTCGTAGATGACGTTATGTTGGTTAATTTATTTGAGGGAACATCGGTTTTTATAATTTCCCAAATCCCTCAATTTTGGCGATACGGCATGACGCATGTTTGTTTTCTTGTTACCACAATAACATGAAGACGCAGTGAGGCGATTAGCGACTGCCTTTTGATTTCTACTAATGCTATGTTTAGCAAGGATATTGCCTTTGTAGAGATAGTGACTACATCCAAAATTCTTGAAACTTTATTTGCTTGAGTTGATCGCAAAGGATTTGATGTTGATCTGTAACAGGCAGGACCGATGCCATAATAAACTATTGGGTTCATTGTATGATCGATGCTAGACCGTAAGTGATGTAAATGAGATGAGCGTTGTAACGTCAAAAAGAACAAAACAAAACAAGACCATAAAATAACGAAATACCACTTTTTTTTATTTACTTGTGATTAGCCTGATTATGTACTTGTGATTAGCCCTGATTATATAAAATATATTGTTCAACCTACAAGAAAAAAAATTAAATCAACAAAATAAACCTTTCCATCGATTTGATAAGTCTTAAGTTTATTGGTTTTTTTGTTTCGAATATTTTATTTACTATACGTGTGTAGGAAATACATTGTTTGCAAATTTCACACAGGTTTCTTTCTTTTTTTTTTTGGATAAATCTTACGTGACTGCAATGCAATTACGTTTCATATAAAACATACGTGCCAGGTGACTCCAAATACGACGTAAGTTCTTGTCGTTTTGTGCGTGACTTTAGTTAAGGTTTGCGCAGGATGATTTTGCACCCAAAGTTTTATTTACTGCTCAACATCCGGTGCGCGCTGCACGAAATTCTAGAATCTAATTGGCTGACGCGAATACGTCAATGGCCTCTAATGCACACACCCCTACCAAAATTCTCTGAACTTGCGACACTAATTTAAACCAACTGCTCTGTTGTATCGTTATTCCTTTAGAGGTAGATTTTCGATTCATTTACTTGATTATTTGTGCATGGAATGACGATTAATTTTGCTATCATTGTCGATGTCATCTCTCCAAAATAGTGGCTGAGTCCATGAAGTGAACTCTGTGAATAAGAGGCCACTTGTTGCCGGCTATAAGTCTAATGAAAGTATGGACAGTATTTGGAATGCCTTCCCTCTGCGGCCAGTGCTTTCGTTTATTATGTTAAGTCACTAACAACTATGGAGACTACGCGCAATTTACAGTTTCAGAGATCTTAAATTTCAGAAACATTTGAAACTGAAATTTGGCGAAAACCACTAAAATACTGCAATCAAATGTGTAAAAAACCGCACACCGCAAATCCATAGCGCAATACTTCCCCGGCCCTTGGAAGACAAATACATTTGTTTTTAAAGGAGATCGTATGATGCGTGAATCTTCAAGTGTAATCGGCACTATTGGAGCTTTACTTGACTTGTAATTCTCATTTAACCTTTCCTGAAGATAAGTCTCTCCACAAAATAAAATAAAAAGTTACTTTTCATCTAATTTACCGAGAGGGATCGCTACTGGCTCGAAAACGCCGCGAATTATCTATCGAAGGACGCAGCTTCGAGCAACAAAATTCTTGAATCGTCCAGCATTTAGTTTTGAAAAACTTATAGCATAATTAACAGGTTATCGAGCCGCGGTCAACATTTTCTAAAAAGTCAAAACACGAATTCTATTTGTAGCAAAAAGATTTAAGGACGTCACAAATTAGATGTGCTTGATTCTTATTTCTGGTGAGTGGAAATGAGTGATAAAACACGTCCCATTTTCCTTCTAAAGTAACGTCAACCGCACGCCTACACTGACTCTTATGACTAAGCGCTTCAAGCGTGATAGCCTAAATCTAAGCCAATTTACTGCACGTTGAAGAAAATGAGTCAGTTTAAAGTGTCACTTTGTTAAAAGCATTTTGCACTCGACTATTAAAAGAGCTGTTAGCTCTTAGACACGATATTTTGCTCTCCTGTCAAGATAACTCGTGTATCACTAACTTTTAACAAAAAAGCTATGACGCAACTTGACGCCAATTGCTTTGCGTTATAATCAAATCGCTTCAAGTGAAATTCCAACCATTACTGTCACGCGCGTTAATCAACCTTTAACAATTCTATTTCTTAATTTCTATATAGTTACGTGATTGTCACAGGTTTATTTTTGCTGCTTATGTTATCTTTTCTACACAATGGGGTGCAAAATATCTAAAGCCATGTTCACAAAATAATCTCTGATACGCGCGCTTTTTGTCAAATTCCGACCGTATATTCAGCGCGGTGTTCAATGTTCATCAGTGAAAAAATCGATAAGCAGGCAAAGAACCATAGATAATTTCACATGGAGAGATAACAAGAAAAATGCGGAAAAATTCAAGAACACAAAAGCTATTGTAAGGACGAGAGTCTAAAGACAAACAGAGCAATATATTGTATGAAATAAACAATAACAAATACAATGATATTGGCTGGGGAGTCAATTGCTACCAAATATCTTCGACGATAATTATACGTCTGAAATTTATAATTCAAAGGTAGTGCCAGTTAGTCGTTTGTTTTTCAGTATTCCTAAAAATGAAATAAAGAAATTAACTCTAGTTTGATAGCAATGCCAGACTTCTCCAATTTACTCGCTCGGCAGTTGAACGGTACTATTGTTCTCCTTAGAGAAAGCGAGTACGGGCAAAGAGAGAAAGCACAAAGGACTCAGAGACGGTTTTCTTGTATACTTAAGTCGATAGGGCATAGATAACCATAGTGAGCATCGAGTTCTTGGTCAGTCGGCTAGGCTTTCATCACTGCGATCTTTCTTTTTTACTATATCAGATACGAACGAAACAATTTGGTGCGCTCGTTGATTTTAACGCACATATTATCTGTTTATCTGAAAAATCGGTGATGAATTTCACGGGATAAGGACTGGATAGAAAATTGAAGATCAAGAAATCGAAAGATGGCCAGTTATTGCATATTTTTACGCTTTGTTTTGTTTTCAAAAGTTTGACGTTATACTGAAGCCTCCAGACTTTGCTGGTGTTCCAGAGTTTAAAATCAAACGGATAGCGAATATTTTGCCAATTGCTTTGACTGTTAAGCAAATATCACTGGAACTATTTCTTCAGAGAAAATTTGCACCCTGGTGAATTCATTTGGATATAATTGACAGGTCAGTCTATCGTTGCGAGAAAATACAAATGTTAATGTTGCTTTGAAACGAATTAAAAAGCTGGGTGCTTGTGCACTGAAGTAACGAAATAGTATATTACCAAAGAAAAATCATGGCAATATTTAAGCTAGCTGTAACAAATATTTAAACACAACAAAGCTTTTTCTTTCAGTGTTTTGAGTCGAAATTTTTCCATGTTTGTTTTCGGCTATATTGGTCGTCAGCGAAACAGGAAAATTTGTACATACGGCCATGATGTTTTTTCCGCTCCTTCATTGTACGTGACGTGCAAGTGCACCGTAAATGAGTCGTTGGTGGGCCGTGGACAATTAGTGTTTGAGAGGGCTATATAACTTATCGTTGATGAACTCTCGGTTTATCTGACAATGCTTTGATGATCATGCAAAAAGTGTTTTTAATTCTTAATCTTGTGGACAAGAGTTGTTTTAAAGAGGAAACCTTTTGAATGTTAATTAAGAAGCGCAGTTCTCGTTATTAATTGTTGTAGCTTCATGCGGGTTCAGCTGTTGCTTTTAGGACATACGACTATGTGAATCACTTCAGTTCCCTTTCTCTTTGCCCAGTAGAGATGCAAGGATAGGGTTGACGCTCCAGGCGTACCTCGAAGAACAGACAATTTTATAGGGAACGATGATTGACGAGCAAGGAACTCTTAAAAGAATTGTTCTTTGAGTTAAAATCTCTAGGGCCTCACCCAGGCTTGTAACTATTCATAAAGGCTTTAACTTGAAAAGAGATGGTAAACGAACAAATGATAATCCCTCGATTATTTGTCAATGCGACATTATTAAGATTAAGTTTAGGTGCAAAAGGGTATCAGAAGTAAAGACAATTGAGCTAGTCGAAAATTAATTGCAAACGCAAATGGTCCTCCACAAATGGGACGTGTTATTGATGCCTGACTTTGCCGTACAGCGCAAAACACGATTTGAAGATTCGTAAACCAATAATTTTATGTCCTTCTAAGGATAACGAGTTCAGCCACCGGACTCCTTTTCTTCACTAATGTGATCACCTCTAAATAACCGATGATTTAAGGGGATGGATTGAACTGAGATAAACTATCTTGTGGTCGTACATGTGGCATAGTGACTGAAAACTACAATTAGATTTGCAGTTTTATCCCCGACTTCTCTCTCTTCGATCATGAATCTTTCTCTTATTTTATCGAGTTTTCCTATGGAAAGAAAATCGCCGTACGGTGGTCTGAATCACCAACAAAAGAAACTCTTAATTGTTACCAGGTTCTCCTTTGTAACATCATTAGAAATGTAGAGAGAACAGTATGGAGAATATGCATATTGATGAAGGGGGGAGAGGGTCAAGGAGGGTCAAGTGATGAAGACAGACGATTCATAAATCTTCGTGCATTGAGATTAAGAGGCCGATATTGGAAAAGTGATCCGCTCCGTATGTATATGTCGATAATCAATAACGAGACACCAGTTGGTGCATCAATGAAGTTTACTCCTCAAATAACTAAAGCAAAATATGACAAGCTTCCAAAATTGTTGATCTAGATGGCCTTGTCGATTTACACATGAAAACCTCTTAACGTAAAACTACAAAACAACAACAACAATAACAATAACAACGGCCTAATGCCTCTCAGATACAGCAACGGCAATATCTTAGGCTACGACTGGTAAAAATAAGGGCGCCATCCCTGGTAAGTTTGAAAACAGCTCAGCCAGCTACAGAGAAGCGTCACATTTCATAAACTAGCTATATCTGCGAAAATTTTCTACCCACATTTAGATCTTTAACTCTTAAAATCACTATTACATCATACGCAAATCAAGTACAAATCCTTTAATCAGAGCCAACAAGCCGATGAATTATTTCATGTTCATAGACGGATTATTCAGTCAATCCTTCGTCATTTTCTTCCTCAATGTCTGGGGCGTCACTCCAGACTCTGTTGGAAAACAAAACAGTCAAATAACAGTGAATCAAAGTTCAGACGGAATTTAGGTGAAGTTGCTTTCAAAGCAATGATAGATGCAAACATACTTTATCTGCCGACATTTGAAATCTGGTGTAAACACATCCAGGTTCATTTCGGGCAGCTTATTACAATCGACGAATATCTTTGATTGTTGCAACACCCTCCTGGGGATAGAAGGAATGCTCTCAGCATTGTCGCAGATTATCTTGGCCAATGTAACCTTTCTTATTTCTTGCAGCTGGCATTGCGTAAAAGCTGTTTTATCGGTGTCCAGGCTTCGGTTTGGTGCGTTTTCATGCCAGAAGCGGTCACCCTCTCGTAGGCGTTTGAACTGCTCGGTTAATATACACTGAAAAGTTTTCCCTAGTGCTCCTCCCTCGGCATCTGCAGGCTCCAGCATTCCTGTGAAGAATCATGAAAACAACACTTGCTATAAACGCTATAGATCGTTTTCAGTCATGTGATCTCATTTTAATTGGCCGCCTAAACCTTTGCCCCTCCTCATCCTGAGCTTAATTATTTCAGTTGTGCAGAATAGTTCGGTTTCTAGCGTGATTAAAACGACTGGGTCCTAGAGTAGGCATGATGTAGGGAGTCTTGTGTTATAATTACCTACAAGAGCGGGAAGGTTCGGATTCCCCTGCATTGATGCGGCAAAAAAGAACAGAGGACGTGTATCCGGTTAACAATCGCTACAAGATTTCGCAGTATTCTGGCAACAAGAAAGTCACATACACATCTTCAGATAGTTAAAACGAAGAAAATCAATCTAAATTTACCGAAATTATTGGGAAATTACACGATACAAACTTTTTATATTTTTTCCATGAAATAAATTCATTTTTAAACAAGCCTGCCATGAACTTTCAATTGAGTTTGTTTCTCTCCCCAGAAAAGGAAAGTAAGTAAATTAAGTTATATGCACATACCTCGACCTCAAACACAATAAATAATCAAAATAGAGTGTCATAACTAATTCGGGACTGCTTTGGTTTTGTTTTACTTTGCTTTGTGATTGGTCCAAAAAACTCTCACCACCTTCAAAACCAATCACTGAGAATCGAAAAGTAAACCTCAGTCAGTTTTCTTGCTTTTCCCCCTCCCCACTTTTTTGAGTTCTGATTGGCTCCTTATGATATTTTCCTTTATTCTGATTGGCTTTTGTGATTACTTTAAACATGGTTTCGGTCTCACAATACTCAATCGCTATTTGGCGGCATTACGCTGGCGCAGACATACCTCCAACGAAAAGATCGACGTCGTGGACTGACTGGTACTGGGACTTCA